GAGGATGAAGGAGCGGAGCCGCTATGAGGCTTGTGAAACTGTTGACGCCGCGGGAGCGCGCGTTTGACACCACTGCGATGAAAACGCGTGTCGCTCCTGCCGAGAGCGAGATGCGTTACTGGGCTCGTACCGCGGTCTCACGTTAACGTTGACGTGAACGGCGGGCGCTAAGAGCTGTGTGCGCGCTTTCATAACGCAGCGCCTTATAGATGAAGGTTGCTCGTGCCGCGGGAGCGCGTGTTGGCACCGCTGGCAGTGAATGAAACAACCTTAAAAGGCTCATTCGTGATGAGTGTGTGTGATGGGGCTGCTTGTCAGATCATCCTTGCTGACAGCCTGGCTAAAAGACACTTCATCATAAAATGATGTTTATTCCACATCTTGTGTCATCAACACACCTCCAGCAAACCGACACCTGGTTATCCTCCCATGAGCTCTGTTTGTTGTCCTTGAAGGCCCCCTGTTGGCGAAGTCCGGGAAAAAATGAACTTCCGGTTGTCGAGGACGTCTGACGGGAGGGGCTGGCGTAGCAGAGCTGGGGAGGCGTTGTGCAGCCGTGGAACATCTTGAAATGATCTCTCGCTGATGAGAAGGCCCTCAAACAAAAACTTCTGCAGCTCTCCTGAGAAGAAGGTGGAGTGATGAGCCAGGAGAACCTCTGGGACCTTGTTCTCCGCCTGCCATGCTGGGCGGCAGACAGCAAAAGAGGTGCACCGGTTGGGGATGATGTCAGCTGCCCTGCAGACGGAGCGTACTGCAGGGGCTGATAGCGTCGTTAGCGAACAGCCGCTACGAGAGCAGAGCGAGCCTAAGGTCAGAGGGCCCACCGTCTCTTCCCGCCTCTGAACGTGTACGCCGACAGCGTAACGTGTTGTTCGCTGCGGCAGTCTGGAACGCATGCTGGTGAGCTCAGTTGGAGAGCGGTGTCACCGTCTGGGTTACGCTAACCGGAGGCACGGGACTCTGGTCCACCTGGACATCTTGCTCTGATGAAGCCTCCATCAGGCTCGGCTCCAGGGGGAACGGAGGGACTTTCCGCTCGGTGAACCCCTGCTCTGGAGATGGGTGCGGACTGTGGAGACCGGCCCCCCAATCTACCAGGAAAACCGGCTGTGGCCTCGCACGTAGGACGTCCTGTTGGGATAACGAGGCCAGATGGATCAAGACGGTGAGCCGGAATGGAACCTAGAATAAACAACCTTCCCGCCGGATCATTCGAACTGGCAGGAAAGGCGTGGGATGTAAAAAAGATGCCCTTCATATCAGCCGCCTCCTGGGTTACGCCGGGCAACCCCAGAGGGCGCCGTCGGCCAGGAGCGGTGTGATCGCCGATGTGAAACGAGGTGGGATGAGGTGAGCATTCGCTCAATCCCCCTCTGCCAACACTACGCTCTCCAGGAGGGAATGAGCAGCGGGGGGCTGCAGCTGAGTGCCGCCTGTCCCGGAGGAACCATCCGATTCGCTCCGAGGGTCGGCGATAAGAGGAAAATTACAAGATGGCGTTGTCCAGCGTGTAGCGACATGTCACTGAGAAATATTCCTCGGTGCTTACCTTGAAACAAGACTGCTCGTCAGCTTCTCCTCGGGGAGGAGAACTCACCGGATGACCCGGAGATCGACGTGCCGGGCCAAGCATTCTTAACAAAGGTTGGTCATCTACACAACTTTCCTTTTTTTCTTCTGACAGTGCTATTAGCTTGCTGAAGAAAAAATGGGAGCCGATTTCCCGCTCTTAACGTAATTTATACGGACCGGGTGGGGCCCACACATCAGGTGGGCTTGGACTAAATTTTTCATTGCAATGCTTCACATATCGGGATAAACCCATCGGCGACAGCCTTAAAGGGCGAAGCCTATACGAAATAGAACAGAACCTGTTATCAAAGTGCTTAACAACAACAACAACAACAACAACAACAATCAATGAGAGTAAAATTAAAGAGAAAAAAATATATATATATACACACAATACACTAATAATAATAATAACTGAATAATTAATAAAAAGCATTTAAAACATAGGATCACAGAACAAAAAACACTAGATCAATTTACACTGTGTGAAATGCCTGAGAGAACATAGTGTTTTAAGCAGAGATTTGAAGTGAGGAAGGGAGGTGGCCTGCCTGATGTTGGGGGGCAGGTTGTTCCAGAGTTTGGGGCCAATGACTGAAAAAGCCCGATCTCCTCTGAGCTTCAGTCTTGTTCTTGGAACAGCCAAAAGCAGCTGATCAGATGATCTCGGGTCCCGAGAGGGAACGTAAGGTTACAGTATCTCAGATAGGTACAGGGGTGCGAGGCCATTTAAGCATTTGAAGGTCAACAGAAGAATTTTAAAGACTATCCTCGTACGAACAGGGAGCCAGTGAAGGGAGGACATAACTGGTGTAATATGTTCAGACCTACAAGTTCCGGTTAAAAGCCAAGCAGCAGCATTCTGGATGAGCTGAAGACGTGAGATGGAGGCCTGGCTGATCCCAGCATAGAGTGCATTGCAATAGTCCAATCGGGTCGTGACAAAGGCATGGACTAGTTTCTCAAAGTCAGGTCTGGACAACACTGGCTTGAGTTTATCTACCTGTCTGAGATGGAAGAAGCTTTTCTGCAGAACAGAGTTGATTTGTTTGTCAAACTTGAAGTCAGAGTCTAAAACCATCCTGAGATTTTTACCAGACTGCTTCAGATATGGCTGAAGAGAGTCCAGGTTGTTGGGATCAGAGGCAGCAGTTGAGCTAGGGCTTAAGACAATGACTTCAGTCTTGTCATTGTTAAAACTTAAGAAATTTGAAGCCATTCAGGCCATAATGTCGTCCAGACATTTTAACAGAGGGCGAATGGAGCAAACACTTGCTGGTTTCACAGGCAGGTAGATCTGGCAGTCATCGGCATAGCAATGGAATGAAAGACCATGTTTCCTCAGAATGGACCCCAGTGGGAGCAAATAAAGTGAGAACAGAAGGGGTCCAAGAATTTAACCCTGTGGGACCCCGCAAGAAGCGGATACATTATTACCAACCTTGACACAGAAACTCCTGCCACTCAGGTATGAGCGGAACCATTCTAATGTTTTCCAGAAAAGGCTTAAAGTTCATCAATTTGCCTGAAATTAAAAAAAAAAAAAAAATCCTTATTTAAACTGTAAACATTTTTGACCATTTGATACTGAACTATCAAATTAAATACAGTCAATAAATAACAAAGTCCATGCTCAATAATCCAGGTATTAAATCCAACATTTTTCAGTCAGGTCATCTGGACAGTTTCCGGATGGAAGGCGAAATATTTCAGCACAAAAAAAGAAACTGTCCAGATGACCTGACTGAAAAATGTTGGACAATCAATAAATAATAGTAAATTCAAATTGATCTGCAACATTGTAAGTCAGGAATATTGCATAAAACCCTTTGACCTACAAAACAAAAATGAATTAAACAATTTGTGCTGTTTTTTAAAATTTTTTGTTATTTTTATCAAAATGAGGAAGTCAGGATTAATGGCATAATGAGCATGTTTTGCAGTGCACAGCTTTTTGAAGCGGAGTTTGAAACATGATGCTGCAGCTCTCAGCTCCTGCTCCATGTTTACCTGGACCTGGACTTGGTCTCAGAGCAGCAACCGCAGAGAAGCTGCAAAGAGCGCAGAGTGAGCGAGCTGGCTGGGGTGGGTGGGGGGGGGGTGTCCAGGGGAAAGCGGCACGCTCACAAGAACCTGACAAGTTTTAATGACAAAATATGTTTTGTTAGCAAAAAATAGTCGTAACATTTGTTAAACATCTTTTTAAATTTAAAAAAACATCAAACTTGTGCTTTGACAATCGATAAAACTAAACAAAATTGTCAACGTGAAATAGGAAAGAGGGGGCAGGTGTCGCTCTCGCTTTGACTTATACCCAAGGACAAAAGCTTCATCATCCCCCCCCCCCCCCCCCGAGATCTTTCTGTGCAGGCTTATTGGAACATTTTCACAAACTGGCTGATCTGAAAAAACGCTCATGGACAAATCTCAACACCTCGTTGTCAAATGATAGACAAGGTGTGAAAGATCTTTTTTTGTAATACCACTATCTACCCTCATGTTTCTCCCCCATTTCCTATCTAAGATTATTATCTGATAAGAATAAAAATGGCCGCGCTCTCCTGTAGTTGCAGCTTCGTGCACTCCGCCCATCTTTCGGACGACTGTACGTACATATTTGCGTTGTACCTCGGTGCAATTCCAATAAAGTTTGTTCTGATTCTGATACTCTTTGTTGCTGCGAACTGTGGGTGAAATGTGTCCAGAGTGGAAGACTTGTTAGTAAAGAACAGAGTCCTAACATTTATTAAACTTATGTATTGAAAAACAAAAAATTGTGCTTTGACAAACTAAAAATAAATGTGTTAAAGTAAAAGAGGAAGAGGGGCAGGTAACGCTCTCGCTTTGAGTTTATTCTCTGTCGCATGTGTGCTGTGGGTGACAAGCATCCAGAGCGTCACCAGCTGAGGAGGTGTCACAGAGACACGGTTCAATCATGGCTCCCCGAACACAAGAGACATATTTGTTCATAACTGTATTATTAGTCAGACTGAGAGTTGCTGGATTTTAGCAAACAGTTGCCGAACGCACCCTGACACAATGAGAATGGTGGGAAAAAAAAAAAAACGACTCCCTGCAAAATGTTCCCCAGTGTCACATGCGCCCCCCCGGTATCGCTTCGAGCCCCCCCAGTGGGGCGTGCCTCACTATTTAAGAAGGACTGCTTTACAGAAACATTCACATACATAGAAAAGCCAATTATTAAAGTTCTCTATCTAAGGAAGGTAGATTAGTTAAAAGTTAGATATTGAGAGGTTAGATTTACATGAACCCCACACTACATATTTATTTATCAAATTCCATATTGTGCAGCTGACATATGAGATCAATAAAATACTTATTTTAAGGCCCTCATAATTTAGTCAATGTTGAGCTCTACTAAATTTGAAGGCAATTTAATTAAATTATTATTATTTATTTGCCAGTTACTTCCACTGAGCAGGACTGTGAAGCTGTAGATGATATGGCACAGAAGGAGGAGGGCCAGAGAGAGATTTCCACATCTGCAAAGGTATAGTTGCTGGTCCTCTAAGCTTGTGTGGTACTTTTATGGAAGTTGAGTAATAATCAGTGCATCCGATTGACTGTTTACTGTATTACTGCAAAGCCCTATTTCAGAAACTTTTCATGTGTTTCAGGATGACTCAGCCTGCGAAGAGAAAACCCAGTCAGGTATGTTAACATAATGTCAGATTAAACTATTGGACCACATTAAGACGCCCCTCATACACATCCTACTTTTATTGATTTACTTTTATTGAGGCAGGTAATTAATTGACAGGTAGTCTCATTTAGAAGAGAGACCTGTGACACAGACCCATAACATCAGTTACTTCAAATATCAACACAACAATCGTAAAACAATTCTATTCTTATTGTCTCCATGTTTATGATGTCCTGATGCAAGTAATTTAGCTGTTTGGATCCTACAGTTAAAATGTTTGATTTAAAACACAGATATGAAGCAACTGTTCCTAACTTTCTATATTTGCAGCTCTGCTCGAAGCCGCTGACGCGTCCATTGGTGAAGAACACAGCAACGCAGATTCCTTCCCAGAAACGGTATCGTTCCTTCTGTCTAGGTCTGGTTTTAGTTAGTTTTCAGGTTGTGTGTTTGTCCTGCCCATTCCTCTGTGCAACATGTCAGGAACTTTTGAAGAAAAAGTCATCACATCAGACACGGACTTCCTCTCGTGTTGACTTAAAGTTGGTGTTCACGGTCGCTGAACAAAACACTTGCTGCAGATCCTTAAGTAAACTTAAGAAATGTTTAATTTATCCTGAAATAAGTTCCATTTTGTTTAGAAAAAATTCTAACATTACAGTTCTTTAACAATATAAAGTGTGATTTTGAAGATTTTGACATTGAGCAGGGCTAACTAAATGCACTCTCATCATCCCTGTAATACGTTAGCAGTGGCTGCTGCTTATAATTCAGTTAATACAGAGCAAATTCCAGTTTTACAACAACTCGCTTGTGTTGTGTTTGCATTCGGTTTTGTTCAGTACATATTAGGGGTGTAACGGTACGCTAAAACATTTCAGTTCGGTTTCAAGGAGGGCTCGGTTTGGTTAAGTTTTTTTGTATTAAAAAAAGGCCAAAATGAAGACTTACAAAATGTTTATTTTGAAAATTTGCCAAGTAAACAATACGTTTGTATAAAAGTGACCCATTTGGATGATATTTTAAATAAAACGCACTCTTTACAATAAATAAACTATACTAACAATAATAAAAATCTTAATAAATAAAATAACAGTCAGAACCAGAACAATAAGCAGCAACAGACAGTTTACAATTTAACTGATCAAGTTTTAAGTTTTCGAACAGCCTCACCTGTTGTCTCTGCTCCATTTAATGTTCGGGTGCGAGTGTAAATTACGTAGATCTCTGTATTTAAAGACACATGTAGTGTACACAGAAAGATGTCACACAGAAATAATTTAAAAACTTTTATTAAAATATGCGCAGTTCTTCTCAGCTGAGCTCACATCTTGAACAACTGGATGAGACCGCTTTAACACGACTAAAAAAAACCAAAAAAAACCCACCAATGGTCGATCAGTCACTCATCGTTCTGTTCTCCGTCCTCTGTGCACTGAAACCTCTTCTTCAGTGTCAGAATTTAAGAGACTCAAAAAGACGTTATCACACTCTTGCTCCTTGTTGCCCTTGACGGCCCTTGTCACTCCCTCGTGCTGTCCGCATCATCCCGCAGCAGTCCAGCCTCATTAATGCACGTGTATCTTGTAGAATGGGTCAATGACAGTATCTCATTAATCATTAAGGTTACACTTCTGGTCACATGATGACGTGGAGTTATGGTAGTTAATCTTGAAACCATGACCTAGAATCGTATCACATCTGATTATCTGTAGGCATTCTTCCTGTGTCGCAAATGCATGCCCCCAAAAGGGGTGGGGTGTTGGGAGCCAGGAGCACCCCAACCTTGTCAAAAGTAAATTTAAGACAGTGGCAGGAAGCTGCCTTGAAACGACAGGAAGTCTTTCAAAATAAAATAATAAATTTTGAAAAATATGAAAAAATTATATAAATAAGCCGCTCCTGCATATAAACTGCAGGGTACAAAGTGTGAGACTAAAGTAGCAGCTTATACATCGACAATTACGGTAGTTGCAGTGACATTATCTCCAGCGGTTGAGAAAACTTGGTTACGTACTGTAACCCCAGATTCTATGAGTATAGGCACAGCCCTTTAAGACTGTCGCTACTGGATTTATCCCTAGGCGTGCAGCGCAGCACTGAAAACTTTAGTCCACGCCCATCTACTGTGTGGGCCTCTCCCCCGGTCCGTATAAATTACAGTGAGACCGGGTAATCGGCTCCGAAATAGCTTTTTTCTTCAGTCATTTAGAAGCCAGTGAGGCCCAGAGCCTAAAGGGCTGCGCCTATACTCATAGAATCTGGGGTTACAGTACGTAACCAACGTTCTATTTCGTATGGACTTCTCCCTTTAAGGCTATCGCTTGTGGGTTAAAGGCGAAGCAGGATGTAGTCTATGCCTCACTGGGTCCACTCAGACACAACATGAATCACCTTCTTGCACAAAAAAACATTTCATCACCCAGCCTTCTGTGTGCATAACTAAGCGCTGCGTAATTGCGTGCTCCATGCGCAGGAACGCACCTGAGAAAAGTCTCTGGTGAGGAAAAAAGGCTGAGAGATAGCAGACCTGCTGCTGTGAATAGGAACAATGGAGGATTCGAATTGTAACAGTGTAACGATGAACAGAGCAGACCAACAGCTCCTCGGGATAAACCGATTAATAACGATAAAATCAGCAGTCATGAACTTGTGACTGATAATAACTATCTCACACAGCGACTGCATGCAGGCAGGTGTGAGCTCAAAAGTGAGGCTCCATGAAACAAATAATAATCATTCTGTCAGAACCCTTAGAACAGAAGGGTCATGGAGAAAGTAGAAACATCACATAGATAAAAACAAATAATTGAACATGGCGATGACCAGGCAGGTGCCATACAAATATCCTCCACTGTCATCCCTCCATGCAGAGCCATGGAGGATGAGAACCCTCTGGTGGAATGCGCCGAGATTCTCTGGAGGATCCAGTCCAGATGAACTGTAAGCTTCAGAAATAGTCCCACACAACCAGTGTGACAGGCGCTGGGTGGATAGAGGACGTCCTGAAGAGCTGTCCCAGTAATGCACAAACATACGCTGAAAGCGGCGCAGTGCGGCCGCGTGCTCCACGTAACATAAAAAATGTGTGCATGGGACAGAAGGAGGTGAGATGTTGCTTCCTCCTCAGAATTATGAGGAAGAGGATAAAACCCCTCCAAGGTTATCACTCTTACCATACCATACCATACCAATTTATTTATATAGCACTTAAAACAGCAACAAGGCCAACCAAAGTGCTGTACAAACGAAACAAACATGCACAGCAGACAGGAAAACATAAAATAGAAATACAGATACAAATAGCAGCAGAAGCTAACTAAAATGGCCAACAGAGTAGAGAACAGACCAGACCAAAACAAATCACACCGTGTTAAAGGCAAGCAAATAGAAGTGGGTTTCAAGCGAGACTTAAAGACTGAGAGTGTGGGAGCCTGCCGGACACTCAGTGGCAACTCCTTCCACAGTCGTGGACCTGCGACAGAGAAAGCCCCGTCACCTCTGAGCTTACGACGGGTTTCTGGGACTGAGAGAAGCATCTGGTCTGCTGACCTCAGAGAGCGCGGTGGGACATATGGCTGCAGAAGATCAGTGAGATAGGATGGGGCGGAACTGTTCAGTGATTTAAAAACATACATGAGAATTTTGAAATGGATCCGAAGGTGAATGGGTAGCCAGTGCAGGGAGGCCAAAACTGGCGTGATGTGCTCTCTATAGCCTGTACCAGTTAAAAATCGGGCTGCAGCATTTTGGACCAGTTGTAGACGAGCAATGGAGGACTGACTGATTCCAAACAGAAGTGAATTGCAGTAATCAAGCCTAGATGTTATGAAGGCGTGGATCACTGTCTCAAGGTTCTTTTTGGAGAGTATAGGCTTCAGCTTAGACAGCCGTCTCAGCTGAAAAAAACAGGATTTGACCATCATGTTTACGTGACTGTTGAGTTTTAAGGACGGGTCCATTATCACCCCCAGATTAGTCACCTTTTGTTTCTCTAGCGGGGCTAGAGAGAAAAGGTCAATGTCATGGTTCATGAGTGAGCCACTGGGATGGAACAGCATGACTTCAGACTTCTTCTCATTGAAGCTTAAGAAGTTTAAAGCCATCCGGTCCCGGATGTCAGCCAGGCAGTCAAGAAGAGGCTGAATAGAGCGTGTGCCTCTGTGCCTCGGGGGGAAGTAAATTTGGCAATCATCGGCGTAGAAATGAAAGGGTATGTCGTGTTTGCGGAAGATATCACCTAGTGGCAGCAGGTATAAAGAAAAGAGAAGGGGACCGAGGATGGACCCCTGCGGTACCCCCCACTGGAGCGCTGTCGATGCCGAACTAAAATCTTTGATATTGACACAGAAGGTTCTGTCAGAGAGGTAGGACCCAAACCATTTAAGGGCTGACCCTGTGATGCCCACCCACTGCTCCAGTCTAGAAATGAGGATGTTGTGGTCGATGGTGTCAAAAGCAGATGTAAGGTCCAATAGGACAAGCAGCACAGAATCACCTGTGTCTGTGGATATGAAAATGTCATTAAAAACCTTGAGTAGAGCAGTTTCAGTGCTATGGAGAGATTTGAAGCCAGATTGGAATAACTCAAGGATAGCGTGATCCCCCAAAAACTGTTTCAACTGAGACTCCACAATTTTTTCCAGTAGTTTCGAGGTGAATGGGAGTCTGGAGACAGGCCGGAAGTTGAACATGACTGAGGGGTCATGGTTAGGTTTTTTCAGGAGGGGCTGGACAGCAGCATGTTTAAAAGTCTTTGGCACCACACCTGAGGATAAACTGCTATTCAGAATAGCGAGGATAAAAGGACCCAGGGTAGGAAAAACTTCCTTTAGCAGTCGAGGGGGGACCACATCAAAGGGGGAACCAGATGGCTTCATGCTGCACATTACCTGCTCCAGAGAGGACAGAGAGATGGGCTCAAAGTGGTCAAACACAGCCACACACTGAGATGGGATGGACAGATCATGAGCTGGTGGAGAAATGAGTGCCCGGGTGTTTGCCACTTTTTCTAAAAAGAAATGGAGGAAGTTCTCACACAGCTCAGTAGAGGCTTCCAGAGGTGAAGGCTCACTGAGGTGTAGAACTGAGTTCAGGGTGGAGAAAAGAACTCGGGGGTTGTGGGAGTTGGAGACAATTAAATCAGAGAAGAATTTACATTTGGCAGCTTTAACGGTTTTCTGATAGTGACGCCAACTCTCCCTTAACATTTGAAAAGAAATTTGCAGCCTGTCCTTCCTCCACCTTCGTTCAGCTCTGCAACACTGCCGCCTAACGGCTCGCGTGACGTCATTCAGCCAGGGCTCTGATTTAAGTTTCGTTTTTCTGGTCTTAAGGGGAGCAACACGGTCCAGAACATTTAAACAGGCAGAGTTGAACTG